ATGCACACGGGAAAAAATAATTTAATTAAATTTTGCTCTTGCAGCGAGAACACCATTGTTATTACATATTCGTTGCAATAGCGATAAAATTTAATTTCATAAAATTTAGTTGGCCTCATCAAATTAGCGAGTTATTCGTAATTAGAGCAGAAACAATTTTGTTGCCGGGATAGAAAATCTTTTGCTAAGTGAATTTGTCTTTAAACCACGTTGATTTGCCGTTAGCATAAATTAGTGTATTTCTACATCTATTAATTTGTTCTTACGATAAAATAATTAGTAGATTCGGCAAAAATAATCCAGCGAATGACAATCGGTACTCTTAATGAATCATTCTATTATTCACATAATAACTGACAGATTTTGCCGCGACAACATAAAATTTGCTACGCCAGCAAATTTCTTTTCTCCGTGCATAATGTTTCGATTATCGATATATGATTAAACGATATAGATTTTCTATGTTATATTTCAATGACGGAAAATATGAAATGATTTAAGCGGAAACGTGGGACGCGTACGACGTACCTACGCGGCAAACGTGTTAAAATTTGGTCGCGCCGCGAACACCTGAGAATTCATCCCCGTTTATTCGCGCGCGACGGTGAATGTGTGTGATTCACGAGTCCATCCGAAGCAAAATGCTTTCTCACCGCGAGATCATGCACTGCTCGTAACCTCCGTGACTGGAGCACGCGGGGTGTCGCGAAGAGACGTCACACATTCGCACGGAAGCGCATTAAGCGCATTACGCTTCTGTCTGCCGGCCGGCAGGCTTGAGTTTATTGTTATCACGCGAACGTTATACGCGCGTTATGAAGGGAATGCAACAATAAGCGCAATGCGAGCCGCATTTAGCTGCAAACGTAGATGTTGGCCAGTCCATGATTTCGTGCCGTTTTACGATTTCGGCAGCAATTTCCACCGCACGCGCGTCCAGATCTATTCTTCGGTCGGGTCTCCCGCAGAATGCGCCGTCGGTGCGTGAATTCCATTCCAACGCGCGTTTCCCGTTTCAATTCGCTCGAGAATCGACAAAAGCTTCTCGTCGTCTTGTCGTACCTCTCACTCACTTATTAACTCATACACTCTCTCTCTTTCTCTCTCTCTCTCTCGATATACCGCCGAGTGCTTTCGATCGTGCCACGCGTCCTCACAAATTATTAAGGCGCATAAAAGTCATATTAGTAGCGAACATTCGTGCCAAGGAATAATAATAACTTCTATTTCCGTGGAGCGCGCGCACACACGCACACAGAATCGCCCGTTAGAGATCAGCGTGACGGAAAGAGAAAGATGGTGGGAGGGGAGGAGAGAGAAAGAGAGAGAAAGATAAAGGAGTTCGATAGGGAGGCCGGTCGGAAAATTATTTTCAGCCCCCGGGAAGATTAATTAGAGTAGTGAGCCGCGTCACGGGCAAATGACTCCTCCTTCATTCGGGAAAACTCCGCCGACGGACGGTTCTTGATATTACATCTTGGAAGTTCGCGGAACGCTGCGTCTGGCGTGTGATGGCCATTGTACGTCGGTGCATGTAATGAAAGCACAATAAATTATCGCGAGACACGATCATCTCGCGATTAGGCTCGCGAAACTCGAAAACAACAACCTATTGAGATGGATGGCCCGTCAAATCGTTTTTCATAGAAATCCTTTCAAATTCTGGCTGTCTATTGAGAAAAATATGATTTGCATATCTGTAAAGTTAAAAAAACTGACTCACCATTCGGAAGCTGATTTATTCGCAACTGAAGATGATGCTTTTTATGTGTGTTCCTTGAGGCCAACGTCCTATTATTAACTTTTAGTTTTGATTTCTTCTAAACCACATTTAGCATTTTAATAAATAACTACTGCGATATTAAGGATTAATATAGAAACGTTATAGAAAAATTTCAGAATTATTGACTATTTTATTTTGAAAACATGGCTGTAGGAAATTTACAATTTATAATAATACCCGCGGTGTATGTAAATATATTTAAATATTTATATATCACTTTTTATGTGTACACTTTTATTAGGTAAACTGACATAAAACGTAACGCATCAATAGAAAGAAATGTAAAAAACAGGCAATACCATCGAGTTAATAATATTGTGTATATATTTGTTTTAATTTTGCTCAAGATTAACAGCTATTCTTATATATCAGATAGTTAAATAAAGTGAGAAGGTATTATTTTTTCAATAAATAATAAACTTATGAAGAGACTCCTTAATACGTAAAGAGCCGGTAAATTATATCGTTGTCGCAACGAATATGCAATAGCAACAATTGTTTCGCTACAAAATTATATTTCTCCGTATATATCTTATAAAAAGATTATATAACAAGTGCGGTAACGTGAATTATCGGTGGTCCACGCGGTGTGAATGGAAAGTCACGTGAAATTGGCGCGGCACTCAACGTGTTAATCTCGCCACTGAAAATCCGGTACCACGGACCAAATACCTTAATAATGCATGCATTCAGTCATCGTTGGACGGGACGCAATATGTTCGCTCGTAAAATGCGGGACGACACACCTCTGCCTATCCGAAACGAAAGCGCGCTTTGAAAAAAAAAAACATCGCAAAATACAGCCGATGTGAGCGCCGTTTGAACGAACGTTTGACGTTTCCACGATTCACGCTTTGAACTATTTCCGGAACAATGCGGACGCCCGTATTAATTCATGTCGGAAATACGAGAAACGTATCGCAGTTTCGGCGCGCCAAAGTTCGCGATACGAGCGGATAATCGAAACAAACGGCAAACGGAAATAAACGAATCTCCTTCGGGAGATTCGCTCGTAGAATATAAAATAGGACATCGCACGAGAAGGGGGGGGGNGGGGGGGGGGGGGGAAGTTCGTGATTAATTAGACAGCTAACTAGGCGCCACCGTCCGACAATTTTCTCGTAGTCGAAACGGAACAGCCTGTCGGACAACTAAACCACTTAATCAAACAGCCTCGCGGAAGACATATCGACTTTAGCAGGTGTCGTCCACAACTTCAGACGACTACGGTACACCCAGTCATCCTTCTTCAGACCGAATACCAGAGCTCGTTTGTGTTTCTTTACGTAATCTCGTCACTGTTCGACTAATTTCACCGAAGCGGGCTTTCCGCTTCGGAAAAACGGTGGGAAAATTCAGGCTTCATCGCGCCGAGTGAAGCGGGAATTGTCCGCGCACGATTGTCACGAACCTCCACCACGGATAGACTTTAATCGACTTTCTTTCATCGTTGTCTCGCTCTCTTAAATTGAGTCAGTGGAAGTGTCACTAATTGAATTAATAAAAAATAGTATTCTACTGATGATCAGGGAATTTTCACTAATTTTTAACGGAAACTTTTGTCGGAAACATTTTTTTCCTATTTTGTTTTATTTTTGTACATTTCGGCTTCTAAATGACTCAACCTCATATATACATATCTTATGTGCACTCAATCATATATCGTACAGTTTGTATGAAAGCAAATTCAGGAGCCGAAAGTTTCGAGCGCGAGTCGGGATAAGAGTGTTTTTCAAATACGATATAAATTAAGTCAATTAAACATGATTAAAAATGTTTCAGGCAAAATCATTCGCGACACCTTAAGAATGGGATTGAAATAATAAAAATATTAAAAAAAAAAGTTATAAACGATATCTATTTTCATTGTTTACGCAATTAGATTTCTCCGACGGGAACAGTCGCTGCTACTAACAAACTTTTGCAGCGAGATTTTAGCGATTTGCAGTGCCATACTCACGACTACGGTCACTAGTGACTGTTGACTGTTTCTCGACGATAACACAGCGATCGCACTTTCGAAATTACGGCGCAACGCTGACGCATTGTTCGATTAACTCCGACGGGAATTCCTGCGGAAAATGACGGGAAAATGCATCGTCGGTCGCGTCGAACAAACCCGGAGAGTAGTCCACCGTGCGAGCGACGGATAGAGCTTCATCAGCTCGCTCGTGACGCGCAGATGACAAAGTTACCCGGGAGGGTGTGAGAGAAGGAGATTTACGTTCTATCTGTCAAAACGATACTCGGCGGGCCGCAAGACGTCCGCTTAGCGTCCCACCGCTGCACAACGGCTGTTTGTCCACTTGTCAGCCGGCATGTTGCCGTTAATACGCGCGGTAATTCACGCCGGGCGCGATCGAGATACATCATCGGCCGTGCCAAGAACTTCCGCGAGGGTCCGCCGGACCGGCCGGGAACTTCGCGGTGGTAATTTCGCGACGGTGGGGAACGCGCGCGTGAATGAGCGCGACATCGAGGCTCCTTTATTCTAAGTGGTAGCCAGCGAGTCGGAACGAAAAGTGAAAACCGGGGGCCGTAACTCTTCTTCCGTTGGCGGCTGCTCCTCCTCGGGGGAGGCGGAAGGGAAGAAACTCCCGGTGAACAACGGGACGACTGGAGCGCGAGCCCCCGATATCGACTAGCTCGTCTATTTTTCTTGGCCGCGCGAGCTCGCTCGGCGATATGATATCGGCGCGCGCAAATTAGAAATTCGTCTTCGCGGTCGAGCGCGTTTTTGCATCGGGTCCGTAATTAAGACCCTACCACTCAGACGGAACGACTCCTGGAGCATTAAGCGGCGGCGGCGTGATGCAAAACAAGTGTCGAGATCGCGCGAAATTTCATACATCACGTTATCGCGAGCGTTTACTTACGAACGGGATCCGGGGAAGTTTGCGCGACGATTTATGCGCGGCAGTCGCGGCGCAACTAATTTGCTCGGTGCGTTCTTGAGAGGATCTCTTTAATCTTGTTCTTGAGAGGATCTCCCGATCGCACGCGAATTTCAGCTGAGCTATTTTTAACGGCTTCCTTGCCGGACAGAAGGAGGACGTTATTCACTCCGCCCCGAAATCGCCGAGTTCCCGAACCTCCTGATTAATGCGTGACTCCCCGATTAAACGAGTCTTAACGCGTCTATCGTTCGCGAGGATCGCTCGCTCTACGAACCGTGAAAAACTCGATCTTTAATCCCCCAATCGTACGGAAATTTCAGCTGAGCTGTTCCTAACGGTTCCTCGTCGGGCGAAAAAGGACACTTCGTTTACTGTGTCACGAAATCTCGAAGTTCCCGAGCATTCTAATGAACCCATCACCTCCCAATGAAGCGGAATTTAATGTGCGCATCGTGTGCGAGAATCGCTCGCCCTCCGAACCGTGAAGCGTTAACAGCAGTGAAAGGGGGGACTGTGTGAACAAGTGAGAAGCAATGTCGCGAATTTTCCGCGTGATCGCAACGATGGGAAAATCCGAAAGGCCGCACGTCTCCCCTCGTCCCGGACACGCTCGGACTGCATCTCTCGATTATTCCTAGTGAACCACGGGCGGAGCCACGGACAAACGAAAGACAGGTTTTGTCGTTAACGGAGAGGCCGGGCGAGCACTTTTCCACGTTGCCGCGATTGCTTCGTTCCGGGGTGAAACGTTAAGAGAAAGAGGGAAAAAGGGGGAGGAAAGAAAGACAAGTCGAGCCAGTTCGAGCCGCCGTTGGAGGGAAAAAGCCGAAGGAAGGCCGGTTCCCGCGGCAGAGGAATCACGCGCGCCGCGCGGACGATGAAGTCGAGCGATACTTAGTCGCCGGCAGTCCTCGGGAGTCATGAGTCGTCTTCCACGGGGGGCTCGCGGAGCGAAAAGCTGAGCGGCTAATCGCGGATGTCGGCCGGAACGAACATGTTCGGGAGCGACGCGCGGGAGCAGACGCGGACGGACGACGACAGCAACCGTACGGTCCTCGTCGATCTGGAGCGCGACACGGGGAACTACACCGACGAGCTCTACCCCTTGCCGAATTACATCAACGTCACGCTGCTGGACATCAACGCCACGGAGGAGATCGATTCGTTTTACTTCTACGAGGTGAGTCCTGGCGCGCGCGAAGTATCCCCGTGTATCTCGCGAATAACAACACGTGCGCGGCGTGTCACGTGACATTCAACGCTTCGTACAGCTGTCACTTTTCGGACCTTCGACCCGTCATTCGGCGCGCGAAAAACCTCGCGACTCGCACGCTGCGAAATCGTAAGTAACTCGAGTAACCCCCCGCCACTTGACGAACGTCGGTACTCAGCACATACTGCAAATTGTTTAATTGAAGCTTTACTTACACGTTTCTTATATACTTCTTGCCGTTTTAAGTCGTTTAACGCGATTGGATGTATTAACTTTTAACCGCATTTTAAATGACGCAAGTTAAACCGGCAGAAAATATATAAATAGCTCCGGTCAAAGGTGTTATTTTTTAGACGTTTATGTAAAAATGACACGCTTGGATTTACAACGCACGCATGACATATCCGTGCATGCTCTCCGAGATTCATGCGGCTTCGGAAAGTGAATCACGAAGAGCTTCGTTGGCTACACGGATATGCATGCGGTAATACCGTCGCATGTCAAGGGACAAGGGCTTGAATTATTTACGGTTTTCAACACTCGGAGCGAGCGCGCGCGCGCGAGTAGAAGGTTGACAAATGTTTGTTTCTCGGCAAATTTCGAGTTGATCGAGGTATCCAGTAGTAGTAAAAAAAAAAATTGTTTAGACAGCAAAAGATTTGTTCGAACAGCAGAAAGATTTGTTAAGAGTGTGAATTGTTATTTGCTGGATATATGGATAATTAATACTCGTAACCGATTTTCCCGCTGTCCAAACAAATTCTTTGCTATCTAAATAAATTTTTTTACCGTCACTATATTGACCAACATTCACTGTTCTAGCAACATTTATTTTCTCCGTGCGTTTATATTCAAGGAGATTGTAAGACTCGATGTTGTGTTTTCAATAGCACGATATTTTAATATATATTATATATAATATATATAATGCAAGTTATCATTGAATTCTTATCAAATTCGTTTCACCTTACAACCTCCTTAAAATACATATCCAAGCGCGTATATTTACCGAGATTATTTGTTATAAGTTAATTTACGTTGTAATGCGTAAACTTGACTTGATTACGATGCTTCATTCTTTTCCGTTATCAAAGGATTTGACTTTTAATGAATAATTTCCCTATCTGGATTTAGAAGTTGGATTTAGAAGTTTCTTCCAGCATTACGGAACAACGGGAAAATGTAATTCGAAGTACTATTAAAAACACACACGTGTTTTTAATCGGTGCCAATTAATGGTGATTTCAATTAAATATTAATTATACCTACACGATATATGCGCACGACAAAATACCGCTGCAAAATTCGAATTTTTGTAACGCCCGCGCGATCTGTATGAAAAATTTAGTTTTAGCTTATTTCAATTTTTTTATCTTTTAATTTAACTTAAATTTTAAAATGTTTTAATTCTCTTAATTTTTAATTTAACTTATACGAGAAATGAAACTAAGTCCATACGTCGGTGCAAGCTATTTTAAAGCACAAACATTGCTGTTTCATCGTACCGAAAATAGTTTCTGCGATATGTATTTCGACAGACCAATCGTGCGTTGGTTATTAAAAACAAAATAAACAACTCTAAAACGTAAATAAAACCTTATCGAGCAGTTCGAACCAAAGGACAAGAACGTTCGAAAGGCACTCGACGTAAAGCATGATCGGGCGTATTTGCGATCGGTGAATTTCCACTTCGATACCGTTCTTTGTTCTCCCGTTCGAAAGAGTCTTTGCTTGAAATCTCAGCTCGTGCACAAATTATACCGAGAAGGATAGACGTCAGGGGAAAATCTGCATGTTAAAATTTAATTTCGCACATACCGTCCGATTTATTTTCCATTACTCCGCATTCGATCGTGGACTCTCGCGGACTATCTTCCGCTTCGAATCGGCTCGTATGCGCATATGCCGCGGGAGGGACTCCGCATTCGCGGGAGAGCTCGCCGAAATGTGCACGAAAGGGTTGCGATAAGAGGCATGGCGCGTATTTACGGCGCTTTTTAGCGAAGCGTAATAGAAAATCCCGATAGAGCCCGGTTCTTATTTCTCCCGAGCATCTCGTTTCCGCCAACTCCCGTTTCCTCTTTCTCTCTCTCCGTCCCTGTAGAACTCCCTTGTAAAACTATTCGCACGAGCGTGTGTTCCCCCGCTCTCGTGCCGTGGAATATCGAAGCGTGCGTCGTTTTTATTATCGGACGAAACTGCGCGCGCATGCACGATAACGCGGTATATATCGCCGCGATATTCAAATCTTACGTAATCCGCGCCCGCTTGTATTTCTCGGCTATCGCCGCGCAGGAAGGAAAAACAGGAACGGCAGTGAAGGTAACAATAACAATGATGAATATCGTATTGGTGTGCATGTTTTCCCGCGGAAAACCTAATATCGAAACTGCACGGGATACAGAATTTTGTTGAACGCGACGGATAGATAGATTGATTCACCGTGCGTACCTTATTGTTCGGAGACTAATCCGGCGCGTGTGCGTTATCACACGTTGCAATATTAATACTCTCCCGCAGTTTAAATAATATTCCCATTAATATCCTCTAATGGATCCGCTCTCTTCATTTTCGCTTTGTATAACCTGTACAGTCGATTTATACCAGAGCGTTTAACGTAACGGTCCGCACGATTTTTGGCGCGATTTTCTGACAGTTTAAAAAAAAAGGTTGAAAAGGCGAATATTCATTTATTTCATGCAAGCTATAACTTGCAATAAAAATATTGAAAGAAAATCTTTTTCATAAAAAGTCAAGGTTACCTTGAATTTTTTTAATGACGCCGTGCAATTTTTTTCAACAATATTGTAAGGTACTTTAAAACGAATTCGATGGATTATCAGGAACGACACTTTTATTGATATTCAATATTAAATTTGCAGCATTATTTTAAATAGCAATATTTATAAGCTCTGTCTAAAAATATAAACGTAAACACTGAAAAGAGTCTGGGAAATTATTTTTGCATTGTAAACATATAATATTCATTATCATTATCATTTTAATTTATTTTTCAATTTACGCTAGGCAAGGTTTTACCTATTCAGAAGAGATTGACAATTATTTTTAGGTCGCTACTAAAATGAGGAAAAATCGACAAATTGTTAAGTTGCCACTTTACTCCCCTTACCCCTAAGTTTGTTTTCTTCATTTCGACGATGTTACAGAAATATTACTTTTATCTTTACGAACAAACGAATTCTCTTTGACGTTTCTTGGGGATAATTGATTGAAGTGCGCAGATAAAATGAAGTTTTCGTTTTCGCGTTACGCGCAATAATCAATTGAAATCACCTCGGATTCGCATCTCGCGCTCATTCCCTTGAGAAATGCCACTTCTCAACGCAGTTTGAAATAAAGTTCTTCAGTTTACAATATCTTTAATTATATTCGTAATTTGCTTCGAGCCTGCGTTAATTTACGATGAAGGAACGCTCTCGGAGCGCAACGCGCGCGCCTTCGCTCTCTCGGGCGGCGGCGGCAGCAGCGTACACACGCAAAATATCGATAAATTTCATCAGGAGCGATCGTACGTCACGGATCAAAGTAACCCCGATCTACGGTAACTTATTACGCACAGCCTCGCCATCGTCATCGCGCGGATCGCCTTCTCTCTAACGCCGATGTGATAAATTTAGATGTCGGGGAAAGTCATAGAACTCGCGCTCTCGCGGCCACCGGTCGATAGTCACTGCTCGCCTTTCAGCCGCAATTCGAGAGAACTTATTCTATATCCGCGTCGTCGCTCTCGGGGATCGTCGAAGCTGAGAAAGAGAGAAAAAGAGAGAAAGAGGCAGGAACGTGAAAACGCGCTCTCGAATTATAATCAGCTCGACTCCGGCTCAACCACAGCCCGTGAATTGGGCGCGACGGTAGACTTGTACCTTCATAAGAATATTACATTTTCGCGATTAAAAGCGCAAATATTCACTGAACAGGCTTCTCGACGAATAATGATTATAATTACTAATTATTAATTAATATCAGTGACATTAATCTACTAAATTAAATGTCATATTTGTATAAAACACGTGCGACGCGTTATTATGAAGCTGTTTGGTAAATTCAAAGTTTCGCTTGCTCGAAATAATTAATTTCACCGCATTTACGTGAAAAAGAAGATATAATAAGATACGTAAACGTATGTCGCGTAATTTAATTTTGCGAATAATTAACGCTAAAATCATCCGTTAAATTAATTTTAATGACAAAACACATGGAAGAGAAGGTCTCTTTCTCTCATTCTCTCTCTTTCTTTCTGCGCTTCAGAGGATGTGCTTAAAGAGATTTAATTCCAGAGCGCGTAATAAAAAAATGCTTTCTCTCTCTCTCTCCTGATCTCTCCTCTATTTTTCTTTCTCAATAATAACTTCCTCATGTTGAAAATTATTCACCCTGCCTATGATCACGGTGGTCCTCGCCCGGAGGATTTCTCCCGCATCGGTATCTTGTTGCTTGCGTTTTCTTTGCAGCCGCGCGTATATCGCGTGCACCCTGAAGTCTAGACGGTTGCATCGCGCATTAAAACTACGACGACGACGACGACAGCAGTGGCGAAGAAGACGACGAAGACGACGCAAGTTCCCTTCTCTCGCGTTCGCCTCTCTCGCGATTGCAGAAACCACGCCGGAGGAACTCGCTTATTTTTACTAGGAATGCGCCTCGAGCTGGCGGGAGAAAAAGAGCGGCTGAGTGAAAAAGAAAGAGAGAGGAGAGAGGGGGTCATTGACGCGATGCTGGAAACAGGCGTCCGATAAAATTAAGCTGCCACGCAACGGCCGAGCCAGCGAAAACGATTCTCTTTCATTTTTCTTCCCTCGTTTTTTCTTTCCTACAGAAACTGCCCGACTGCCATCGACTTGGCTGATTGCGAGAGCTAATTGACGTAATGACAGGGATAATCACATTATAATTGATCGGGTCGGCAATCGATCGCAGGCAATTCGCTTCTGAGCTGTCACCAAAAT